TTTTAAATGCCGGCTACTTCGAACCCCGTGCCGCACGGCTACACGCGGCACAGGGTTCGAACTAGCGGGGTAGTGTAGACATACCCTGAGTCTGCTAAGAGCTGGAGCCAGGGAAGAGCTGTCCTGAATGTGACCTATACATTAACACTGCCTGAGTCTGCCAAGAGCCTGAACCTGTTCCTCCCCAGCCAGCTATGCACCAACTCCCTGCTTTGACTGAAGAATTGTGTCCAGTTTGTGCCCATTACAGAAAGGATGTGGACACATTGCAGAGAGTCCAGCAGGGGGCAACAAAAATGATTGGGGGGGGCTGGGGCACCTGACTTACGAGAGGCTGAGGGAGTTGGACTTGTTTAGTCTGCAGAAGAGAAGAGTGAGGGGGGATTTGAGAGCAGCTATCAACTATTTGAAGGTCCAAAGAGGATGGAAAGAGACTGTTCTTAGTGGTGAAAGATGACAGAATGAGGAGCAGTGGTCTCAAGTTACAGTGGGGGAGATCTAGGTTGAATAGTAGAAAAACTATTTCCCTAGGAGGGTGGTGAAGCACTGGGATGGGTTCCCTAGAGAGTGGGGGGAATTTCCATCCCTAGAGGTGTTTAAGTCCCGGCTTGACAAAACCCAGGCTGGGATAATTTGGTTGGGGTTGGTCCTGGTGCTGGACTTGATGCCTCCTGAGGTTTCTTCCAACCCTAATCTGTGATTTCTATCCCAATTCCCCAGCCATGTGCTAAATCCCTGCTCCAATCTCTGCCAGCTAACTCCCTTCCCTCTCTAGCCAGGCACCAGCCTCCCCACCCCCTCCGGGCCTGTTCTTTCTCCCCAGACTGCCCTTCTGAAGTGGGTTGGGGGAGGAGACTAGAATGGGGGGCAACAGGCAGCTCAGCTCAGCCAGCATGACTCTCTCATATCCTCTGCCCAGGCCTCTGGCACAGTTAATGATCAACTTCTGCTACAGTTTGTGGAGTGAAGGGCTGGGTCAGAAAAGGGGCATGGTTTGGGGAGGGCAGTGTAGGATTGGGAAGAGGCAGAGGGGTGTGGTATGCAAGACTGAGAGAGGGGTGGGATTGAGAAGGGGTCAGGGTGTAAGATATAGAACTAAGGGAGGCAGTGGTGGAGGAGTAGAGGTGTGTGAGATGAGGGTTTGGGGAGGGGAGGGGAGGGGTGGAGATGTGGGATATAGAACAGAGGGAAGGATGGGATCCGGGACTGGGAGGGGTGAGCGTATGGGCTATGGGACCGGGAGAGGGAGGAGGTGGGACCCAGGTTTGGGTAGGGGTGAGCGTATGGGCTATGGGACCGGGAGAGGGAGGAGGTGGGACCCAGGTTTGGGGAGGGGTGAGCATATGGGCTATGGGACCGGGAGAGGGAGGAGGTGGGACCCAGGTTTGGGGAGGGGTGAGCATATGGGCTATGGGACCGGGAGATGGAGGAGATGGGATCCAGGTTTGGGGAGGGGTGAGCGTGTGGGCTATGGGACGAGGAAGAGGGAGGAGGTGGGATCCGGGTTTGGGGAGGGGTGAGCGTGTGGGCTATGGGACGAGGAAGAGGGAGGAGGTGGGATCCGGGTTTGGGGAGGGGTGAGCGTGTGGGCTATGGGACGAGGAAGAGGGAGGAGGTGGGATCCGGGTTTGGGGAGGGGTGAGCGTGTGGGCTATGGGACGAGGAAGAGGGAGGAGGTGGGATCCGGGTTTGGGGAGGGGTGAGCGTGTGGGCTATGGGACGAGGAAGAGGGAGGAGGTGGGATCCGGGTTTGGGGAGGGGTGAGCGTGTGGGCTATGGGACGAGGAAGAGGGAGGAGGTGGGATCCGGGTTTGGGGAGGGGTGAGCGTGTGGGCTATGGGACGAGGAAGAGGGAGGAGGTGGGATCCGGGTTTGGGGAGGGGTGAGCGTGTGGGCTATGGGACGAGGAAGAGGGAGGAGGTGGGATCCGGGTTTGGGGAGGGGTGAGCGTGTGGGCTATGGGACGAGGAAGAGGGAGGAGGTGGGATCCGGGTTTGGGGAGGGGTGAGCGTGTGGGCTATGGGACGAGGAAGAGGGAGGAGGTGGGATCCGGGTTTGGGGAGGGGTGAGCGTGTGGGCTATGGGACGAGGAAGAGGGAGGAGGTGGGATCCGGGTTTGGGGAGGGGTGAGCGTGTGGGCTATGGGACGAGGAAGAGGGAGGAGGTGGGATCCGGGTTTGGGGAGGGGTGAGCGTGTGGGCTATGGGACGAGGAAGAGGGAGGAGGTGGGATCCGGGTTTGGGGAGGGGTAAGCGTGTGGGCTATGGGACAGGGAAGAGGGAGGAGGTGGGATCCGGGTTTGGGGAGGGGTGAGCGTGTGGGCTATGGGACAGGGAAGAGGGAGGAGGTGGGATCCGGGTTTGGGGAGGGGTGAGCGTGTGGGCTATGGGACAGGGAAGAGGGAGGAGGTGGGATCCGGGTTTGGGGAGGGGTGAGCGTGTGGGCTATGGGACAGGGAAGAGGGAGGAGGTGGGATCTGGGTTTGGGGAGGGGTGAGGGTGTGGGCTATGGAACAGGGGAAGGGTAATTGGAGACTGGGCAGGAGTGAGATACTAGAGATGGGAGAGTTGGGTCAGGGAAAGGAGGGACTGGGGAGAGGGCATGGACATGGGTGGGATCAGGGATTGGGGGGCTGTGTGGCATAGGGGATTGCAGGGGGTATGGTACTGGGCGAGGGCACTGACTTGGGACAGGTTGTGGTGAGATATGGGATTGAGGCAGAAGCAGCCCCCTGCCCAGCTCCCCTGCTACTCACCGTCTTTCTCAGCCATCTCCTTGCTGCGGTTAATGATTGACTGGGGCGCTGGGCCTTGATTTCCCGGGGCTTCTTTTGCATGAAGCCGGCCGGCGCCATTTTTAAATGCCGGCTACTTCGAACCCCGTGCCGCACGGCTACACGCGGCACAGGGTTCGAACTAGCGGGGTAGTGTAGACATACCCTGAGTCTGCTAAGAGCTGGAGCCAGGGAAGAGCTGTCCTGAATGTGACCTATACATTAACACTGCCTGAGTCTGCCAAGAGCCTGAACCTGTTCCTCCCCAGCCAGCTATGCACCAACTCCCTGCTTTGACTGAAGAATTGTGTCCAGTTTGTGCCCATTACAGAAAGGATGTGGACACATTGCAGAGAGTCCAGCAGGGGGCAACAAAAATGATTGGGGGGGGCTGGGGCACCTGACTTACGAGAGGCTGAGGGAGTTGGACTTGTTTAGTCTGCAGAAGAGAAGAGTGAGGGGGGATTTGAGAGCAGCTATCAACTATTTGAAGGTCCAAAGAGGATGGAAAGAGACTGTTCTTAGTGGTGAAAGATGACAGAATGAGGAGCAGTGGTCTCAAGTTACAGTGGGGGAGATCTAGGTTGAATAGTAGAAAAACTATTTCCCTAGGAGGGTGGTGAAGCACTGGGATGGGTTCCCTAGAGAGTGGGGGGAATTTCCATCCCTAGAGGTGTTTAAGTCCCGGCTTGACAAAACCCAGGCTGGGATAATTTGGTTGGGGTTGGTCCTGGTGCTGGACTTGATGCCTCCTGAGGTTTCTTCCAACCCTAATCTGTGATTTCTATCCCAATTCCCCAGCCATGTGCTAAATCCCTGCTCCAATCTCTGCCAGCTAACTCCCTTCCCTCTCTAGCCAGGCACCAGCCTCCCCACCCCCTCCGGGCCTGTTCTTTCTCCCCAGACTGCCCTTCTGAAGTGGGTTGGGGGAGGAGACTAGAATGGGGGGCAACAGGCAGCTCAGCTCAGCCAGCATGACTCTCTCATATCCTCTGCCCAGGCCTCTGGCACAGTTAATGATCAACTTCTGCTACAGTTTGTGGAGTGAAGGGCTGGGTCAGAAAAGGGGCATGGTTTGGGGAGGGCAGTGTAGGATTGGGAAGAGGCAGAGGGGTGTGGTATGCAAGACTGAGAGAGGGGTGGGATTGAGAAGGGGTCAGGGTGTAAGATATAGAACTAAGGGAGGCAGTGGTGGAGGAGTAGAGGTGTGTGAGATGAGGGTTTGGGGAGGGGAGGGGAGGGGTGGAGATGTGGGATATAGAACAGAGGGAAGGATGGGATCCGGGACTGGGAGGGGTGAGCGTATGGGCTATGGGACCGGGAGATGGAGGAGATGGGATCCAGGTTTGGGAAGGGGTGAGCGTATGGGCTATGGGACCGGGAGAGGGAGGAGGTGGGACCCAGGTTTGGGGAGGGGTGAGCATATGGGCTATGGGACCGGGAGATGGAGGAGATGGGATCCAGGTTTGGGGAGGGGTGAGCGTGTGGGCTATGGGACGAGGAAGAGGGAGGAGGTGGGATCCGGGTTTGGGGAGGGGTAAGCGTATGGGCTATGGGACAGGGAAGAGGGAGGAGGTGGGATCCGGGTTTGGGGAGGGGTAAGCGTATGGGCTATGGGACAGGGAAGAGGGAGGAGGTGGGATCCGGGTTTGGGGAGGGGTAAGCGTATGGGCTATGGGACAGGGAAGAGGGAGGAGGTGGGATCTGGGTTTGGGGAGGGGTAAGCATGTGGGCTATGGGACAGGGAAGAGGGAGGAGGTGGGATCCGGGTTTGGGGAGGGGTAAGCGTGTGGGCTATGGGACAGGGAAGAGGGAGGAGGTGGGATCCGGGTTTGGGGAGGGGTAAGCGTGTGGGCTATGGGACAGGGAAGAGGGAGGAGGTGGGATCCGGGTTTGGGGAGGGGTAAGCGTGTGGGCTATGGGACAGGGAAGAGGGAGGAGGTGGGATCTGGGTTTGGGGAGGGGTGAGGGTGTGGGCTATGGAACAGGGGAAGGGTAATTGGAGACTGGGCAGGAGTGAGATACTAGAGATGGGAGAGTTGGGTCAGGGAAAGGAGGGACTGGGGAGAGGGCATGGACATGGGTGGGATCAGGGATTGGGGGGCTGTGTGGCATAGGGGATTGCAGGGGGTATGGTACTGGGCGAGGGCACTGACTTGGGACAGGTTGTGGTGAGATATGGGATTGAGGCAGAAGCAGCCCCCTGCCCAGCTCCCCTGCTACTCACCGTCTTTCTCAGCCATCTCCTTGCTGCGGTTAATGATTGACTGGGGCGCTGGGCCGGGCCAGAAAGGCCCCGCTCCCTTGGCACTGGGCCGGCCTGCACTCTGGGGACAGAGAGCACAGTAGGGCGGTGACCACAGGGCTCCCAGGCTCTGCCAGAGACCCAAACCACTTGCCTCCCCCAGAGCGGAGAGACAGCCATCTCAGACAGGGCAGCTGGTGGAGGTGGCCAGCAACTCTGCCCTCTGCTGCAATCTGTTATGAGCCACCTTGGGGGGAGATGACCACAGCATCCAGTCAACCATGGCCAAGCCTTCCCTGTTGCCTTGGTTAAAATGTCCCCCTATGGACCTCCCCATCCCTCCCCAACAGCTCCCCACTCCATCCATTTCCCCCCGCCATCTCAGACAGGGCAGCTGGTGGAGGTGGCCAGCAACTCTGCCCTCTGCTGCAATCTGTTATGAGCCACCTTGGGGGGAGATGACCACAGCATCCAGTCAACCATGGCCAAGCCTTCCCTGTTGCCTTGGTTAAAATGTCCCCCTATGGACCTCCCCATCCCTCCCCAACAGCTCCCCACTCCATCCATTTCCCCCCACCCCACTATCTA